CAGCGCCGACTCCCGCCCCGTCCTGCAGACCGGTTCCTCATGCTGGAGCAGAAGATCAAGTTGCTGGAGATAGAGCTGGCGAAGGAGAAGGCGCTGTGCAGCCGCGAGAAGGAGGAGTGTCTGCAGAAGCTGCGCACCCTGGAGGCGCAGCTGGCCGAGTGCGGGCGCGCGCGGGAGCAGCTGGCGCAGCAGCAGCAGCTGGCGGACGGGCGGCTGCAGCAGGTGCAGGGGATGTGCGCGCCGCTGGACCGCGACAAGCTGCAGGACGAGGCGCTCAAGCTGTGGCGCGACTCCGCGGTGTCGCGCGCGCTGGACAACCTGCGCTACGCCCCGGGCTACGACTCCTACCACCTGGGCAGCGAGCTGGCCTCCATCCGCCGGGTCTGCGACCAGCTGCCCGCCTTCCTGGCGACCAAGGTCCAGGAGCTGGCGCGCGCGCTGCGCGCGGACATCGAGCGCGTGGCGCGCGAGAACGCGGAGCTGCGCGCGCAGAAGCTGGAGGCCGAGCAGCGCGTGCGCGCCGGGCAGATGGCGGCCGAGAAGGCGCAGCAGGAGGCGGCGAAGCGCGAGGCCCAGCTGCGCGCCGAGGGCTCGCGCCAGACTAACCTGGCGCTGGAGGAGAAGGCGGCGCTGCGCAAGGAGCGCGACGCCCTGGCCAAGGAGCTGGAGGAGCGCAAGCGGCAGGCGGCGCAGCTGCAGATGCAGGCGGAGGTGGCGCGCGAGTCGCTGAACACCTGCGTCAAGGCCAAGGTGCGCGGGCGCGGGCGCGGGCACGGGCAGGGCCGGGGGCGCCCGGGGGGCGCGGGGCGCGGTGGCTCGCGGAGTCCGCGCAGCCTGTCCTGCCTGAGCAGCGGGGCCGAGAAGTTCCAGCCCAGCCCGGACCTCTGCGACGTAGCGAGCCTCTGTCCCAAAATTTAAAAATAAGTGCAAAGGGGGCCGGGGATTTAGCTCAGCGGCACAGCGCCTGCCTGGCAAGCGCGAGGTCGTGAGTTCGATTCCCGGTACCGAAAGAAAAAAAAAAAGTGCAAAGGGGCGGGAGTGGAGTTCGCTGCGAAGGCCTTGCGTCGGATGCTGGGAAAACCCAGCTATGGTCGGGTCCGCACGGAGGGGAGCAGCACCGGGGCGCAGGACGGCTCAGAGTACTGGGCTCGGCCAGATTCGGGGTGCTGGGCTCAGGGGTGGCTTTAGAGCTCAGATCTCCAGGGTCGGTAAGGGCTGGGTTTGGGGCCAGCAGCGCAGGCTGACAGAGCAGAGCGCTTCCGCCTAGAGGGCGCGGGTGGAGCGGCCCCTGCGGGGACACCGAGGCAGCCGACCCCCGGAGACCCCAGGCCCCTCTGTCCCTGGGTGGGTGACCAAGGGCCGGGGCTCAGGCTCAGGCCCCCGGCTCCACCAGCCTCCGCACTTCTTCCGCAGTCGCAGCCGATGAACCCTCCTCGCTCCCCGCCCCCGGCCCCCCACCTGACCCCCATTGGTGAGTGACCGCGACACTGCCGGCGGGAGGGGGGAGGGCAGCCCCTCCCCAGCCCGCACAGTCCAACCCGCCGCCCCTCTGCAGACCCAGCCAGCCTGGATAAGTTCAAGAAGAAGATCCTGGAGACCTATCGGGTCCCCGTGCTCCAGGCCAGGTAAGGTTCTGCCGACGGCAGGACCCCGGCTGGGGGTGGGGGAGCCTCCACTTGCTCCCCTGCGGGAGAGGAACCAGAAGTAGCCAAGACACAGCTAGTTCTGTCTTCCTGACGCTCCTGGAACCTCCTGCCTCAGCCTCGGAGTGCTGGGATGACAAGCATGGGCCACCACAATGGGTTTGCACGAGCTACTATTCAAGCCCTACTTTCTATATTTTTGTCTTTTCGAGACAGGGTCTGGCTGTGCAGTTCAGGCTGGCCTCGAGCTCACTTTGTAGCCCACGTTGGTCTCGAACTTGCAGTGATCCTCCTGCCTCAGCCTCCTGAGTGCTGGGACTACAGGCATGCCCCAAGCCCTACTTTCTAGATGGGAGAGCCGGGCTCTGAGAGGGCTCGGTGGGGGCCTTTGTCATCCTGGCTACTCCCGAGGCCGAGGCAGGAGGATCATAAACACGAGCTCAGCCTGGCCAACTCAGGGAGACCATGTCTCAAAATGGATAAAAAGGGCAAGGGTGCGGCTGAGGGTAAGCGCTGGCCTAGTGTGTGTGAGGCCCTGGGTTCTAGCCGGGGCCCCCGCAATAAACAAAAAGAGCAGGCGCTAGAGTCGGGGTCTGGAAGCCACCCACGGCGCTGGGCAAGGGCGCCGCGGGCATCCAGCACCCCTGGGTCCTGGCTCGGCGCCACCCCTCACCTCACCTGAGGCCAGGTGTCCGTGGACAGCACCCAGCACGGGAGCCATAGGCTAGGTCCTGGGCCCACCCAGGAGGCCCTGCTGGTCTGGGGGCAGGCCACAGCGACCTGCGTCCCTCACAGTGAGGGTCACGGAGGCTCCAGTTTTCAGTCACATCTCAGACCGCACAGTTGTGCGCCCAGCTGCACCCCACCCCGCTCAGCCTCGCCTGACTGGACGGTCACAGCTTTGGGAGGTCAGGACCGGCGCTGGGCTGGTCCGGGCACCACACTGCGTCTTGCAGGCCCCCTCCGACAGGGACCTCCCCGCTCACCGCCCTGCGCGGCTCCGCCTGGGGCGCCCCCCCCCCCACAGGACACAATGTTCCTCGCTCCATCCTGGCCCACAGCCCTGGTGGCAAGGAAAGGGGGTCTATTATTATCCCCATTTCTCAGAGGGGGGTACTGAGGCCCCAGCGGGGGTCACGCACAGGGCCGGGCTCCCAGCCCAGGACTGTCCGGCCCGGCTGTGAACCGGGGAAGCTCTTGACATTGTTTACCCCAGATGACGTCCTGAGAGAGACAGAACAATGAGCACTTAAGCCTGGTCTCGTCTCTGGCTTCAGGGCTGCAGGAAGGGCTCTGGCCCCGGCCTTCCCCTGGGGACAGGGCTGGGGGCCAGGTCTCGGCCACTCTGGGCACCGTGGGCTGGCAGGGCCCTTACACTGTCAACATCATTTTGTTTGTTTTTGGAAACAAGCTCCCTATTGCCCAAGCTGGCCTCATACTTCCAGGCTCAAGCAACCCTCCCGCCTCAGCCTCTTGAGTAGATGGGATCACCCACAAGCGTGCCCAGCTCCATACCGATCCTGGATGCACCCTCTCAGGCCCCGTCCGTCCTGTGGTTATAAACCAGGTGCAGATAGAGAGCCTGGCACAGCCAGACCCGACCCCAAAGTCTTGGTATTTGGGTTCTCGGGAGCCTTTGAGGGGTTGGGGATGGAGGCCTGGACCTTGCCGGGCCAGGTGTCAATCTGAGAATTGAGTTTTACTTGGAAGGTATCCATCCAGTTATCCAACCCTGATCTTTTTGTTCCTCCTTCAGTACTGGGGACGGAGCCCAGGGCCTTCACTGCACTGCATGCCTGGCCCTTTTTTACTTTTTGAGACAGGGTCTCACTAAATCACTAAGTTGCCCGGGCTGGGCTCAAACTTGCAGCCTCCTGCCTCAGCGTCCCAGGTTGCTGGGATGACAGCAATTGAAAAAAAAAAAGAAAAAAAAAAAAAGCTAGGTAGTGGCCTTGGCCTGTAGTCCCAGCTACTCGGGAAGCTGAAGCAGGACAACTGCTTGCACCAGGAGTTTGCAGCTAGCCTGCTCAGGATTCCGTGGGGTCGGATTTCTTTCCTGAGGTGACCTTTGAGCTGTGGCCAGAGACCTAAAGAGGAGGGTGGGGGGCCCTGGGGCCTGGCAGGGGTTCAGGCTGCCTTCAGGCCGCACCTGGAGCTCGGGAGCCCTGGGAGGCGGAGCAGCGCGGGATTTTTCTCCTCACTGGGGCTGGGCCCCCGTAGCTCTTCTGGAGGCCGGCCTCGAAGTCATTACGCTGCGGCGTGGGTCTGCGTTTGCGATCCTCCTGCCTCGGCCTCCAGAGCTCCGGGATGACAGGCACTGAATGGGGCTCGGAGGCTCCGGGGGACAGCGGGGCGGGACGACGACGGGAGCCGGCGGGCAGGGCGGCGGGCGGACGGGCCCACCGCGCTGTCCCTGCCTCCGCAGGACCTGAGGAGGCCGCGACCCCAGCACTGGCGACGCGCGAGGACGGAGACTCCGACG